CCGGTGTGGCTGCGCGATACCCTTGCTAGTTGCTACTTCACCAGCGGAGCCAGCCTCCCTCCACTGTCCCCTACCATCCTGCCCTTTTCTCTTCACTCCTCCCTGCCCCTCGTCGATCAGTTGCTGTCGTTGCTGACTGTCCTAGGGAGAGTGTACGCGTGACCATAGCACGCGTGTACTTCGGTATGCGCCCTACCTCGAACACGCGACGTGCGAGCCTCACGGGTCTCGAGCACCCTTGGCGTCATCTGGGGTTGCGCGAACACACTAGGGGGTGGCTGCCTGCATCAGTGAAATACTGAAACTTATTCTCTTCTCTTCTCTTTCTTGAAGTGATGAATATACGAAGAGATATCGTGGTGTAGAATTAAAAATCTGGAAAATATTGTTAAATGTGTTATCAGGGGTATATTTCTTTCTAAATTTAATAGTTTCAAACTCGACTCTTTGAAACTGGGAGAATTATTTTAAATCCTTTAGAACTCTCCTTTCGCGAAAAAAAAGTTTTAGAGTAATATAGCAGCTAAATGTATAGCAGTAATTAAAATAACTAAATTTTATTTACCGTACAATGGAGAAACTTAAATTTAATTCACAAACTGCTTTATCCTTACAATTCGATTTGATTCGTTTTCGAATATATTGTCAAATTCGATTCGATTCAATTCGATTCATTTCACAAATGCTTGATTCGTTTCTATTTTTCTTTGATATGTGATTTTTCGGTTTTGTATTTTTTCTATAAAGAATTGACAATACGCTCGAAGTTAACACATTAATTATATCATTTCAGTTTTTTTGTATAAAAAATGCGAAAATCCTTTTTATTTATGCAGAATTATGAAATTATGAAAAGTGTTATTAAAACTATGATTATTTTCGTTATATCAATAAAATGATGTGCTAAATTTACTTCGGTATCATTTCCTGTGAAAATTTTTCTTTCAATTAATAACTGCGTTCAGCAGAATATTTATTTTGCGACTGTTGGCAACTTTTTTCGTGCTGATCTTTAGATCTAAAAGATATAAATTAAATAAACGTTTTATTGTACGCTGCCAATAATTATTCATTACAATGTTGCGACGTAATCACCCTCTCAATTGGTGCTTTTTTTATAAAAACGTCTTCATGCGTTATATTTCTTACATGTACCTTCTATAGATAGAGAAGAGATTTTCATAGCGAAGATATTCTCAGTGGTTTGCTATTGTTTTCTGAGGGGTGGCAATCAAGTAAAATCTGATATATGTAGCTTGTGTTTTTGAATTCTGATCTTTGTCAAAGAATAGTCACGCAACTCTTTACTCTACAATCGTCATAAAACATTACTTACTCGAAAATTTTATTTATTTTCTATAAGTTATATAAAATAATTTCTCTAGATGAATTGTGTACATTGAAACCATTTTGGTTGTGGCATCAATCGAATGTGTTTTTCAGAGTTGTTAAATGTTACTTTCTCATTGTCATTATTTTTTATAATAAACAATTTGATAATGACATTGCAATTTTTTATGACAGTAACGCTAACTAACTAAATGCTAAGGCTGGAAAAGTTATTTTGAAAAGTAACTTGTCGTTATTACGCGTTACTCATTGAATGATATAGTATTATGAATGATATAGTTACATATAGTTTATGTTCATAGCTGCATATAGTTTATGTTCACATGTTTTCATGTACAGAGGTCGTGCTATAAAAGACAAGGATTGTCTAAAACGCAAAACATATCCACTCTCAGATTTCTTTCAGCTGATAAAACAATTTTTAATTAATCGATTGATTTATTTATTTAGTTATATTATGAGAACAATTTTAATAACTCGCACGAGCGAAACAATGCTTTATCGTAAACGGAAATATGACGGAAGAAAATCAATACTCGTTCTTAAGATAAATTTCGTACGAAATTTTGCGCAGATTCCAAATGTGGCCATCTAAACATTTGCACCGCGGTGATTTTGAAGTGACAGCTCGAGAGACCAAAATGAATATTTGCCACACAAAAACGTGTAAAAATGATCATCGAAAAGAAGAATTCAGAAATATACATATTCATCGCTTCTCAAAAGAGAAAGCGTTAATATTAAAGTGGGAAAAAGTTTGTGGGAAATTATTTCTTATTATGATATGACTCTTAATTCAAATAACTGTGGCAACATGGCGACATATGGTGTCACGTTTTTATTGGCTGTTAGAAATGCGCAAAATGGTAGCGCAAGAGTACTGAGTTCCTTTCACCATGGGTGGAACAAAAATGAAGCTTTGACGCTTCGATCAGCGCGATCGGTTAAGCAGAACGGTGTCATGGCGCGGCAACAATGACCGAGAGTTTGTTTCTCATCGACGAATCTAGCACGAAGGCCAATATGTGGAGCGGATTTCGCTGCAATAGGGCTTTCGTGATACTCATCCTGTTAAATGTGATTATTTTCCAAAGCATCGTATGTGAGTATTCATCCAGCTATCGCATTTCTTTCTCGTCACTACAAGTAACCTTTACTCGTTCATGCTTGCAACAACGTGAATGGCAAGTGAATAGCGCCGTTGACGGACACTGTGCGGTTTTGGCGCGAGATTTAAAATGGAGTCGAATATCGTGGATCAGTGATTTTTATTTTATTCAATTTAAATGATAGTTATATAGACTTTTTCTTACGTATCACGTGAGTTAGTTATGTAGAATTTTAAAAAAATTAAGAGAGTTATCATCATGTAGTTTTAATTAGGTTTTAATATAATTTGCAAAATATTTACAGAATTGTTTGAATTATTAGGTGTTGGAATTAATTCGTAGCGTTTTACAAGTGATGGGAAGTACTTTCATTAATGTATTTTTTAATGCTCATGTGAAATAAATAACATTCTTTCATTAAAAAACGCTACGAATTAATTCCAACACCTAATATTATATATTAGAATTGCTATTAGAATTGCTAATTTTTAACATGTCAGTATATCTTGCGAGAACATACTTCATGTGAATATTATCAGTATATTTTTAAATAGATAAAAAATACAAATATTGTTGTCTAAATATGATCAAGTTGTGTTAAAATCTGAATGATTATTATCAAGAATTGTGATTTATAACCAGGTTTCGAATGATAAAAGCATATTGAATCGCTGCTAATTTTAATACGTTTAAAGTTATTCTGATAGAATCGTCAATATAATTATAATTATAATTATAATATATTATAATTATAATTTTTACGAAAATTTATTTCTAATGCAGAAGAAGAAAGAAATAACGATTAATTATTGCAAGCGATGCAATACAATATCTTAAGTTTCATGTATATAAACAATTTGTGCATATTTGTAAGTGTAGATTACTGCCATTTATGCTCAACACTGTTTCGAAATTCCTGGTTACGTCATAATACTTTAGCTATTTATAATACATGCCGCATCTTTGTTATGACTCGTTGTTCTTTCAAGGTTCCCTTCACTCAAATATAATTTTCTGTGAGTTTTGGACTGATAAAAAGAGTATCACCAAGATATTATTGCTAATAACTTCAATTGTGTTTACACAGATTATCAGGAGCACAAGAAGTGGCAGGAGATAAGGTCCAAGCTGGAGCCGATGATAACAGATCTGCGAGACGTGCAGGGATTGACGTATAGCTTGCTGAAGAGGCTGGAGGCGCACGGCCTCTTCGTCGAGAACGTCCTTGGGCGAAACGAGGGTAGTCGGCCTGTGATTTATGCAATCACGCCTACGTTCGCCAGGCCTGTGCAAAAGGCCGAACTCACCCGGTTGGCACAGACATTCCTCCACGTGTCCAACTTTCACTGGATCGTCGTGGAAGATGCCCCGCAGAAGACCGCCCTGGTCTCCCAGTTTCTGGAGACAAGTGGTCTTATCTACACCCATCTAGCCGTAGCAACACCACCGAATTACAAACTCGGCAGGAACGATCCAAATTGGAAGAAGCCACGCGGGGTTGAGCAACGAAACGCGGCGCTAAGATGGCTTAGGGAGAATCTCAAACTGTTTAACAAAGGCGTTGTTTACTTTGCCGACGATGATAATACTTACTCTGTCAAACTTTTCCACGAGGTGAGACGGATGCCTTCGGAGAATGATTTTTATAAATAAAATCACGCGATCATTTTTGAAACATCTCTTTTTCCTTCAGTCAGCGATTTAATTCAGAACAGTTTTTTACTTATTTTATATTTTCAATTTTTTACATAATAATTATGATCGGAAGTGATTTAATTATTTTTTTTTATACCAAATTGAAAGATAAAATTTAAAGCATTTAGAAAAAAATGAATCGTCATCTATTCGATTAATTATTTGAACGTTTTACTTAGATATGTACTTATTGCTTTCAGATGGAGAAAATACAAAGAGTCGGCGTTTGGCCGGTTGGTCTAGTCGGTGGTCTAATGGTAGAGAAGCCTATTTGTGACAACGTCACTAACAAAGTAATAGGTTTTAACGCGGCGTGGAAACCAGACCGACCGTTTCCACTCGACATGGCAGGCTTCGCAATTAATCTTGAACTCTTACTCAAACACACCGATGCGTGGTTCTCGTATGATGTGCAAGGTGGTTACCAGGAGAGCGAGATACTTAGGCAAATAGTCACGAAGGATCAATTAGAACCACTGGCGGACTGCTGCACGAAGGTATTGAGAAATTTACTTGAAATTTTGTCTATAACTTTCAATATATTTGCGATTCTTGTTGTATTTTAGGTGTATGTGTGGCATACGCGAACAGAACCGCCGCAATTGAATGTCGAGCAGATGTTGATCAAAAAAGGTAAGCGTTCCAATGCTGGCATTGAAGTATAAAGAAAGACAATATTCTCATCATTATTCCATTGTGCTTTCCATGAGAATTCAATAATTTAATTTGATATTATTATTAATAAAATAAGTTGATATATATATTTGTACATACGTTGATATTTTTTAAAAAGATAGGATAAAACGAAAGGTATAAATGCTGATTTTACTGAATTTTGCATGTGTATATACACGTAGAATAATGCAGTGCCATTCTGTACAACTCATAACTGCAGACGTAGTAGCGATGATGAAAAACAATCATTAAAAACGAATAATTCTAGTGAATAATTATTTGAATCTCCAAGAATCATGTGATATCGCAATGTGCTTTAGATAGATTTAGATTATTAGTTTAGATTATTAATCCGCATGTCGCTGCCACGTTTGTTGTAAAAAATTAATCTTTTGTTATTCTTATGATAACCAATACAAACGATCTTATTATATTGCGTCTACGTCGTTTTATAAAAAAATTTACCTATGATTATTGTAATAAAATTTTTGAGGAAAACCAAAGAGGCGTAGGTTTCCAATCCTGCCGATCCATCCAATCTTCTCATCTTGAAAACGTTTTTTCATTTTATTCAAGAGCACGATTTCTTGTCGCGTACAGAAAAAGCATTACATAAAAAATACGCCTTACATCTACGGAACTTTAATACTTGTAATGATCTCTAGATGAAGAAGATGCGTCGTAATACTTTCTTGTGGGAAGCTACTTGTTAAGGATGTGTGGCTCTTGGCAACGGATACAAAATAGCTAGAGGTGTTAGAAACGATGACACGTATCGCTCGCCGATGCGAAGTCGCCGCGCGACATCCGTCACGCGAATGTCTCGCGATTTATTTATTTTTCATGTACATATATATCATTTTTTTTTGTATAATATATATTTATATTTATATGTATTCATTGACTTACGTACTAATAAGTACTATAGTATTTGGCAAATTCTCTGTCTTACGTAAAAAAGCTATCTGCACGGAAAGCGTGTTCGCGAATGCGAGGAAACGTGCCAATAGTCTTGATGTATCAACAGGTGCAACGATATAGTTCCCGGTGGAGAAGTTTCGCTGCTAGTTCTAGATTTCCTCCTATATACTCTGATCCTTTTCCGTCTCTCTTATGGTTCTGTACAGAAATACAGTAATTTCTGTTTTACAAAATTAACGATTGCATGCAATTAACTTTAAATTTAATATATATTTTAATGATAATTTAATTCCTTTCCAGAAAGAGAGACGAAAAGTCATCATTCGAATTGCATTCGAAGCTAATCGAAGTTCGTAAAATCTTTCATTAGAATCCGCACATTAGAGCGAATTAATCTGGATTTATCATTGCGTCTGTTTGTACAACAATCTTACAATGTTTTTCCCCTTCTGTTGTGAGTCTCCCACCTTCGATTTTTCGCGAAGACACGCATTCCGCATCGTGCATGTTCTAAACCTACCAAAACTCTTAATATCTATTTTCGATACGTCTTACAATTAAGGGAAAACGTTTACAAGCATTTACAAAAACTTATCACATTTTAACGTTTGCGTTTCTTTCTGCAAAAGCCATCTTAGACATTAGGACAAGAGCGGTACGTTTCTTTTTATTCGCTATATTTAGATATATTAAATATGGCAGCTTTCTGATGTCACACTCTCTCCGAGATCACTGACTGAAAATTCGACCGCAAGTTCCGTGTATCTGCAAAACTTGACATTTGTCGCGGTAAATATTATTTGTTTTTGATTACACTATACATATTCAGAGAGACTTTTAATATTAAGGTAACATGTCAAAATTTTGTCATAAATTTATTATAATTCGTTCATCGATTGTTCTTGCACGCATCCTAATACTGTTCTATACTGCAAATAGAGTGCCTTTCAACTTTGTTTTATCATTATATGAACAGCCGCAATTAATCACCGTAATCATAATGACTTTTGCAATGTCAATACAAATACACAGTGTCGCAAGAGTTGTCCTATCTTCACTTTACTTATCTCTCAATTTTAAAGAATGAAAAGCTTTTTTATCGTTATAAAAAGAGGAAGAATTTTAAAAATAATAAAAAAGAAAAAAGATGAGCTGCCCTTACGTCTCTTAACAAGGTAACTATAACATTGTAAAATATCATCACTAAAAAATAAGAGTAACTGAGAGCTTTTCTCATTCGAGGTAATAAAAAATAAAAAGGTATAAATATACAAGGATGATTATGGATTATACAAATGTACGAAGAACGAACGAACTCGCTACAAGAATATGCGAGATTTAAGTAGTAATTCACTCATAACTATAGTGGTCACACGCATGATCGTAAAACTCAACAGAGAACACGCGCATATTGAACAATGCGCGATCGACGACAAAACAATGAAAAAGATGCAATTTGATATTTCCTTTCAATTATCTGAAACGATAATTGATTCCATTAATTTGGCAACGTGAAAGAATCAGTCTTTAGATTTAAAAATAAATGAGAAAAGGATTGAACGTTACGATCACGGAGTCAAGAATTTACGAGAATAAAAGCGTGTCGAATATATATCGCGTATGAGTTATCTATCATTTATGTCTCTCAATTGATAGTTATTTCTAATTAAAAGACATGAAGAAGGATGAGGTATGGAGCTTGAGGGAAGTAAGATAATAGATTGTTCAAGATGTATGTACAGTTTGAAGGTAGTCGCAAAATCGCGTACCTCGTTTAAAAGAGAAAGAGTTTTTCTCTGTTGGCGGAATATAAAAGCAACACTCATAGTCTTTAACATTCTGAAAATAGAGAGCTGCCCTTTTAAATAAGAATTAAAAATAAAACTTTTTAGAAGTACTAGATGAGATTTAGTGTTGTTAAATTGAAACAATTAAAATTTCATCACGCTAAATAAATTGCTAAATAAACACGCTAAAAAGAAATAGAACAATTGATAAATAAAACATACTTCGCCTTTGAAGAAATGTACGTCGAAGATTGAAATTAACAATAAATTTTGTTCTCCATTTCCATCTTGTTCAACAATATCTCAATTCTTTCGCTAACTATCGGAATTTAGATATGTCTTATTGAACTCCCTAATTTTGAAAGAACCTTATAATACTCTTTCTAATTAAATATTAATTCAATATTGAAAAGAATCTTTTTTTCAATAACGAATTAGAGCTGCCGGGATATTATATTATAGTGTGAAGAATACGAGCGTTGCATTTTTACGCGATTATACTTTTTAAATGCAATATTCTTTCCGAACGAACACGAAGTTTTTTTTGTTTGTCTTCACGCGCAACAGAGTACGACTTTCCGCGCGGTCTTCTTAAAGCCGCGCGCGACAAAGGACACGATACTACCCAGCGTACTAGACTGTGATAATCTAAAGGGTGCCTCGAAGCGTTCATCTAAATTGATCAGTCGACCTCTACCAATTGCACAACGAATTTTTGTACATTCTTCTTGCCAGCTTCTTCTTCTCGCACAAATGATCTACTTACTCCTCGTTTCCTTGCATTTATATGTTATAATTATATCCGTAACTTTCTCTTAAGAGCAATTACCGAGTAAGCTTCGCTTATTTCGTACTTCTCGTTTTCATAAGCTATCGATTATCTGTGCTCCTTCGCACGCTTCGGCGAGTACAATGACGGGGCAAAAGAGTTCAAGACTGCTTTTATGTTCATATCACAAACCTATCAAACGTGACATATTCTTCGATAAAAACTATCTTGGATCCGTCTTTTTGATGTTATTTTCGAACGATTTCACGATAGTCAAAGAACAAATGAAATATTCCGATCAAGTCGCTTTCACTTCAAACGTCTTAATGTTTCAGCTAAAAAGTACTGCGGAGAATATGTCAAGTTTTTAAAGTTTGTTCCTTTCTTTAAGCGGTTAGCTTACGTTGCACGCGAAATCAGACGTGCAGTGAAAACTTTATGGCAAAGTAATAGGCGAAGGATACGTTCAGTGACGGGAAGCGCTTTCAAGGGATTCTACGAGGAAGTGTAGGCGGCAAGTGTATCGCAGTACACGAGGTAAGAGGTTTCGAAAGGGTAGAAGGCGGGTCGGCGTGCGACTGTGAAACCGCGCACGTTTTTTAAAGAGAAAAACGAAAAGCAGAGACTTGGCGCTGAATGATGACAGAGGAATCGCGTGAGGCTTCATCCGGAAAAAATTCAGCGAGGCGAATCGCTAAATCCCTCGTCTTCCCTCGTCTTCCCGCAAACGAGTATCGCGAATGTACGTACAATGATTCCCTCTGCGCGTCCTTCTTTTCGTTTCTTGTTTTTCATTTTCTTGTTTGTTTTTTTTTTTCGAGAACACTTTTTAGCCGGAAACCGCGTTGCGTTTTTCCGGAACGATTTACAATCTAGTACGCCGGAAGAATATCTAGACGGCTGAATCCTTGCCGACGAAGCCGGTCTTGGAGACGGACCTCTTGCCGTCAAAAGTGATGGAGGTCTCCCGGCGCAATCCAGAATCGATGATCGGTGTGATCTTCTTTTCCTCCTTCAGCGGCTCCTTCTCGTCTCTGCAAAAGTGTCAAGACAACATTTGGTCGGAGGACCGTGATTTCCGATGTCGGATTAACTTCTAATACCGGGCAGAAAAAAAAATTAGAAAAAGAGAGCATGTCCATATGCGGCGCGTGGTGCGACATCGAATACACACGTCAGGCATGCTGTCACTCGCAAAGTAAAAGAACTGTCGTAGTGAGAGAAGCTTCGAAGAAATGATGCGTCTCTCTCTACGCGGGTCTATATGCCATATGCCATTTTCGATTCCGATAAATCCCGAGGAAGCCGCGTTTATTACGATTCTGGGGGAATTTCCTAACTAGTCCAAGCATTCAGAAAGTTGAACAGCGTTCAACTTTCTCAGCGTGCATATGCACAAAGTTTTATACAAGAATAAAAAGAATTTGCCTTCTATTTTTTACATAAATCCATTATAAATATACGGTTCTTATTATACTTCGAACAAAATTTTTTTCAATTTTAAAATTATCTGACAAGGGACTATCTCGATTTGTACAACAAATTAGAAAATTTTTGATATCAGTAAAAGAGTTGACAGCATAAGATGTAAATTAAAAAAAAAAAGGCAAAACCGTACAAGTCGTAGGTTCCAAAAAATTTTTTTGTATTATAGTATGTGGTAATAGTTCTGGGTAATATTTAAAAAAATATTGATTTATCTAAAAAATGTTTGAAACAAAAGTAATAGGATTTAAAAAAAACTATCAGGTATTGATTTTAAAAGATCCCAAAGTCAAATTAATATCAATATCTTTTTTAAAGCCTATTACTTTTGTTTCAAACATTTTTTTGCTAAATCAATATTTTTTTAAATATTAACTATTCCAAAACTTTTACCACGCACTATAATACCAAATTTCTGGGAATCTATGACTTGTACGGTCTTGTTTTTTTTCTTAATTTTACTACATTTTATATATACTGTCAACTTCCTTTTACTGATATCAAAAATTTTCACTAATTTGTTGTACAAATCGAGATGGTCCCTTGTGAGTTTAATAAATTTTTTAACATAATTTGTGCTTTGTACATAATGCCCACGTTTTTAAGAAATAAAACTTAAATAACGAAGTTGAACGAAATCTGTGAACATTGTTAAAAAAAATGCGAACCATTGAGTGGAAGTGATTTTCTTCATTTTCAGAAATAAGAAGTTTTTGGAGCATTTAATTGAGTTATTTTAAAATAATTACAAAATAATATAAAAGTATTTAGAGATCGTACAAAATTCCTTATTTTTGCGTAATTATAAATTAATTATATAATATTATATAAATTATATCCATTTTCGTTAAAACCTAAAGAATCAATGTCTTTCTGTCTTTCTTTTGCGTCGCGATAACTAACTGTGTTAATAATTTTCTCGTTACTTTATCATTTTACACCACTTCCACTCAAGGTACATCAAGTCGCTTATAATAAGCGTTTACTCGCAGTGTTATTTGCGCTTCGTAAAGCACAAAACTGGCAGGTCGAGAACAAGACTCGCATACTTGTTGCAACATTGTGCGGTGACGGAACAGACTAGAGAGAGAATTAAGGGCAAAGTGAGCGCTATTCCAAAGTGTATCGTGCATGCGGCATGGCCAAGGCTCAGAGTACCAGCGAGCTCTATGCGCGTTATTACGAAATAGCACTAAAGCGTGTCCACTTGAAAGCAGTGTTCATTATACTAAAACTATTTAGTAAATATAAGTCGAGTTTATAAATAATATAAATGATGATTCATTCGAATTTAACTTCTTTATAAACAAATCACGAATGATAAACAAGGGAGTGAAGTATTTTCTTCTTTCCGCCTTTGTGACTTTAGATTATTTTTTTCAATAAAATATTACAAAATTCTTTCCGCCTTTGTGACTTATTCACTGAATCCGGAATAATAAAATAATTAGCAGTAATTAAAAAAATTTTTACGTTTATTAAAATTTCACCTCGAATTTCACTTTTTTCGTATTTTGCTAATAAAATAGTAAAAAATGAAATGTGCGATCCATTATGTGCTACACTCGTTAAAGTTATCCATAATCCGTCCCACGGTTGAAAGAGGGAGAGATATAATATGTACACTGCCTATGCGTAGCCACGAGTGGACACGGATGCCGGCGCAACGCAAAAGTGTAAAAGATAAATGTGTTGCAGGACGAGGAGGTGGTTGGCGGCACAACGAATGCGTCCAACGAATCGAACGTGTTTTCTCCCATGCTCATCAAATTCTGTTTAATGCGTATCGACGACTTCCCTTACGAGGACGGATCATCCCTGAACCGTCGAGTCGGATGAGTTCAGGGTACCGTCGTCGTTTGGGGAAGTCAGGTAAGAAAAGTACGCAGAAAAAAAAAGAAGAAAAAAGGGAGAGATCTCCGAGTTTTGAAAGAAAAAAGAAGAAAAGGAAAAAAAAAGTAGAGAACGTCATGCAAAGTGAAAAGCTGTGTCGGAGCCCCTTCGTGAGGGGCCATGCTTCTTACTGATTTCGCTTATACATCGTTTTCTCTCTTACATGGCAGTGTGTTTGACCAATCTAATGGTATTTTTTCCACTACTTGAGTCTTGGATGGCCGTGACCCCGGCGACATTGGCCATTTTTTGGTCGCAATACGGCAATGGAAACCGCCAACCGTAAAGACTACCGGTAAAGAAAAAAAAGAGAGAAATACGAGAGGAGTCAAAGTGTTGTCTCTGTGTTTGCCGGCGGGCTACTCTCTAACATTTAATATCGCGACTCCACCACCGTCATCGCATCCACTATCGTCCTTTCTATCGCGCGAGACGCGATTATGCGAGGCTGAATTGCAGGCGTTCGCAGAATCGTGTAGATAACGTGAGAGAAGTCTCTCTGCGACTCGCGTTTGGATCTAATCAAATTATCGGCGAAACGAAGAAGTGATACGAACTCGACGGTAAAAAAAGAGTGAAGACGGAAGAAACAAAAAAGACTGTACCGAACGTGTGAACGAGAGTTCAATGACGGGTGCAAAGTTCGATAATATGATAAAGTAGCGCTAGACTTGCCAAAGCACAATGTAGAATACATATGTAATAATATAAACGAGATGCGGTAAAAACTGTAGAAGTATATCCAAAAAAGAGTATCCCATAGTACATATATATTCAGAATACTGTTGCGTGAATTTCGAATATTCGGAAGAAAAACTCACCTGCCGAGCTTCGTGTCTTCCTCATCGACTGGTTTCCGTCGAGATCGTTCGCGCATGAAGTTAATAATTCCTATAATGCAAGAGAGACAAACGTTATTGTGGCAAAATGTTAACAATCAAAATAAGAGGATGTGCAATATTTTAATATTCATAGATTTACAAAATAATTATAATATAATTTTTTACATCATCGCATGCGTTCAGAATATTTTTATGCGTTCTACTAAAAAGCTTTTATACACGCGAGTTTTAATACAGCAATTAAATTCTAAATTTGCTCCTATAGATTTCAAAATTACGTATTTTTATAATTAAATTCCGAAATATAAATCAAATGTTATATAGCCGTAATGAGTAATAACTAGAATTTCAATATTTCCCCTTTATACTACAATAACGCGAGGGTATTTATCAATGATCTGTTCAAGCTGTACTTGATGATTTAACGCCTGGCTCACCTATCTTGCGCACGCAACAGCAGATGGCATCGATGACGATTAAGATGACGAATATCGTCGCGAGGACAATGCCGATTATGGCTCCGCTCGATATTAACGGGCCTTGATGCTGCAGCACGCTGGTATCTACACCTTGAAAGACGATAAAAGCACATCATTCTTAAACATATCCATCGCGATACTATGTGTATACATATGTATATCGCAGACCGTTAGTGCAAAAGCGATACTGAACGATGTTTGGTGATGGTTAACAATCGTTGCATTTGAACGCATACTTGGTGATATACATCGTGGAAGCGCTTGCGGAAGGATGCGATAAGACATGCTTGAGAAAACGTACTGGTATGTTTTTTTTTCTGATTTAACAGAACCGTTATTGTATAAAAAATTATTAAATAGTTTAATTTAATTTAATTTAATATTTGATGTAAAAAAAATATCAGTCGATTTTATGACGCAACGACTACAATTTTATGGCAAATTATACAGCTAGTAGTCTCCTGTTTAAGTTTGAAATACACGATTCTAGATATAATTGCAAATAATTAATCTAAAATAATTGTTATGTGTTAATAAACTATTAGGTATTAAACAGTTACCTATTCAATATTAAACAACGTTACTAACAGTATTATCGGTTATATTATTAATGTCAATATATTATTATATAAACATATATATATATATATATTATATAATATTATTACAACGTTAAAATACGAGATAAAATTCTCTCGATAGGTCGATGCAGTAATTAAGATAATTACTTCTTGAGTACCGGTCGCGGTGTCGCATCACCAAACACGTTCCACGTACAATGATATTTTAGTTTCCTGAAAAGAAACAACAGATCTCGGCGGGGTTGTGTGGGGGAAATGCGGCAAAAATCCGTCTTTATCAAAGGAGGAAACCAAAAACCAGAAGGCAACAACGACAAGACATACAAGTAGTGATTGTCAGTTAAGGAGACACACAGTGTGCAAGTGAGTGTGTGTGTATGTGTGCGTGTTATGTATTTTTTGTGTACGTGTGTGTGTTATACATATCGGTTAATGGATCGCGATAATTAGCGCACTGCAGAGCGTAGAAGCGATAGAAGAGTCTCATTTCGCAACACCATACAACACGAGCTGTGCTAAAAAGCTCAAGGGAGGAGGAAGGAGAGAGGGGGGGTGGAAAAAGCTCATTCACTAGCCTCCCACAATCGATGTTAGTTTCTACGCGCCACTAGTCTAAAAGTGCTACCTCCACACAAAAAGCCCCACCACTGTAAGTGCCTCGCATTTAGTTCTGTCTCACATTCACTCATTCTCTGTCATTTCTCTCTCCTCTTCCCACATTCTCTCACTACCATCCAATCCTTAACAGAGCTCTCAACTACGTTAGTTAGCGGCCAACATCTTGCACTTGCTTGTACTTTAAGGGGATATTTACCGTTTTCGGTGACGCGCGTCGCTTCCCGTGGTTTATTTTTATCATAATTATAAAGTAAAGAGGCGATGTGTGATAATGATAAGCGAAAAAATAAATAAGACCGCCGAAAAAGAAACCATCTCAAATTGCAAACGCGCGGCCAGAAGAGCTCTCCAGCTGAGAGATATTCTTGAAAACGATCATCCCATCTCCTTCCTCTTTTTCGCTCGTCATTCCGTTCGGAAAAATTCTTAAGCTCGGAAAATTGACAACTTCGGCACAGGATACAATTTGAAGGTGGCTTCTCCGCTGGCTCGGATTTATCCATCCGTATTGTTCTTTTTTTTTCTCCTTAGACACTCACATATATATTTTTTTTTTTACGTCGTTCCGTTGTATTTACAATATTGAATATTTCGCACAGGAAAGAACGAGTTATACGAGTTTATCCTCCTCATAAATACGAACATATTAGGCACTAGGCTAGTACATATCCTTAGACGTATGTAAATGTTTTATCTACCTATCTATCTATGTGTACTCTTTATATATACGTTTGTACATATATGTGTATGTGTGTATATATATATATATTATATATATATATATGTGCGTGTATGTGTGTCCTGTGTGTATCTGTAGTGTGTAAATATATACCCTTCGGAAGATACGAGCGGAGTCCACGGTACCGTAATAAAAGATAAAAAAAAAGAAAGAAAGAAAAACACCGAGAGAAGAATACAAGGGGATTGCTACGCGCTATCATCGAATGTCTCGTAAAAGTAATCAGAGCGACAACAGATACTGAACGGCCACGTTGAAGTTCGATTTCGCATTCTGGTCTATTTTCGGTTCGTATCGTAACGTGTCTAGCTCCGAGTCGGCGCGATTATTTCTTAAACCCTCCAATCCGTGTACCTTCTGCAACCCGAAGTAAATTCAGGGGCACGTATATATCCTTTTCTTCTACCTTCACCCGAAAAAAACTGTGCCGACATAAAGAAAAAAATTAAAAGGTATACATTTATTTTTATTAATATACTCTCATTTTTGTAAGCGGCTTAAGTATTTTCTTTCTCCGAACTAATTCTGTTTATAGAGATTCTGTTTAATGCGCTGGAAAAAAATCTTCCAAATCCGAACCTTATTACGATTAAATAAAATAACAGAATAGAAAAGACTAAAAGGGTCGCAAAAAATGTACTAATGCATTGGCGGAAGGCTTTTCCGAATGCAGAGACGACCGTTTATTATTTTATTAACTGGATTACACCCTGAAACGCGATTTTGTACACAAACCTTTAGGCACTCGACATCTTTTTATCAATATTTCAACATTAAATGTAACATGTATCATTAAACTCTTCCATTATCAAGAGAATAATAAAATCGTCGATTACTAAATTTAATTTTATGCAAATAAATATCTTCATATTTCTCGTCGAGTAATATTGACGTACGTATTTCGAGAGATAAAATGGTAAAACACAACGGTAAAAACTTTATTAAATAATTTCAACGTAATAGAAAGATTATTTCGTAGAGTGATTTTAGTATGCTTTTCCACAGTGGAAGGATTAAAATAACGCTGTTTCGCTGCGCGGATTCAAGGACCTGGTACTGCGAAATCGCGCGAAAACCGTGCAACGTCCATCGAAAATAGATCGCGAAGAGTATCGTGCTTATGTTTTTATATTTCTCGCCCTCTCATCGTTCCAGTCCTCCGGTTCATCCACTCGACGGAGTTCTCTTTAATGCAGTGGCTATTTATAAGCGACGTGGCGACGCCCGGAGGTTCCACGAACGGATTCGCATTCGCGAGCAGACCTATTCGACTTTTCTGCGTTTTCCTTGTTTCTATCTCCCCCACGAAGTCGCGTGGGCACTAGAGGATGGACCTGGCACATCAGCCAGCGCGAACACCCGGCTCTCTCCTCCTCTCGAGCGATTCATTTGTACCCGAGAGATTATCTCTGTAACGAGAAACACTCCAGCTGCTGCTTACTGCTGCTGGGAAACTTCTTGCTTAAACACAGACACGTTCAGATTGTACGTATATATTTGATGTGTATTATTTCGGCGTCTCTCGGGGAAACATTTTGGGAAATGCGGTACCTAATATATGCAACCTTGAAGTATTAAAAAGTAACAATCGTAACGCGAGTAACAAAGGCAAACGAAAGACGCGTTTTAGGAATTTTAGCTAAATAAAATGAAGAAATAAATTTTGGGAGCTTCACGGATTAAAAAAAAAACTAATTGATTTTATGAACGGAAAATCATTATTTGTATACCTATAATTTAGAATTACCAATTATCAATTGTAAGCGTTGGCAGCGCTTTCTTCCCGCAAGATAAATTCCGTATAATCGTACAATCCCACCGTATAAAGCGAGTGAATTGGAATAATCCCGCATTCCCCGCTAATTGATTTCGTCCGCAATCGCGTCCTCGAGATGATGATGCCGGTGCTTGAAGCGTCCGGGTGAAAGCAAACGCTCGCGCAGACAATGAGTCGTCGTTGCCGAATGGAGCATTTATACGCTCGCAATTTATCCGGACGGAGTCGCACAGTTTGGCGCGGGGGATCGATCCTCGAGTACAAAACACAAAGCCGCCTTGATTTCCCGGCAGAGACAATTCTGGCCGCGGCGCAAGAATCGAGGATCGATTGATCCTGGCAGATTGCGGGAGGGTCGGTCGCGTGCGTCGTCTCTCTGGTTTGAGGCTCCCCGCAAACACACGCCCATCCACGTTCTAGGCGGAGGAGGGGAAGGAACGAACAGTGCACGTTCGCGTAATTAGTCCGTGCGAATCGCGACACGTTGAACAATCGCGAATAAAGAGCCGTTTGCTCGTGACCGTAGCTCGTATTCCTGCGTCGTGGGCATTTAACGTTAAATTACCGTCCGTTCTGAATTACTGTATCCTTTCGGTACGTTTCGTACGAAGAAATTACACAATGGTCCGTATTCTTGTCACGAATTTCTTGCTGAATTTCACCGTCTAATTTTGACGCTGTGAAAGACACATTCGGTAATATTGCGAATGAATTAAGATTGGAAGACAATGTCGATACGAAATTATGAATTGAAATAGAACAGCGAATTTAACGTGAAATGCATCAAGTGCAAAATTAATTCAAGTAATATGGATAAATGGTTAAATACGGGCAATAGATTTTACGGTTCTTTTTTGATATTGATGAAAATGGACTGGACTTTGACAGAATCATGTTACTCTGTTCGAGTAAGAGGAATAACGGAAGACCGTATCTTTACCGAAGCGGTGGACTGAATCGATACCGTGGTCTGTTCGTTGCAATTTCACGAATCCTTTTATCGAGACAAAGTGCGAATTTCGAGGGATTTCGTTTGGCCAGTTCCAGTTACAATCGTTCTGAAGCTTTCCAGGAAGCCGCCCGGTGATTTCCGCCAGAAAAGAGGAAAACTCATTGGAGGCAGATTCGAGACGGATGGAAAACCATTTCGACGATCGTTCCCTTCGAATCGTTTTCTTCTGCCATCGCGTCTGCTTCTCGACATTGTCTTTATCATCGGTTTAAAGCCTTCCGCCTCTCTCCGCGCTTGTCCTTCATCGGTTTAAAGCATCGTCTGAAAGAGACTCTATTCGCGCATCCACTCTTTCTTCCACTAATTCCGCTTTGTGACGTTTCCGAAATTACGTTGGAGTTTATTGTTACGAGAGGTAAAACAGGATACTTGCGTGTATAAGACGTTGTCGTTTTCCCGTCGAATGAATCCAGTCGAGTTTTTACGATTGTAAACGGAAGTCAGGAGATTGTTTTCCGTCAGGGTTTATCACACCTGTGGCTAAAAGTCTCAATGTCGGCTTTATGATATTATCAACACAACGATAAAGATGTCGATATCTTGAAACCGGATTAATCAATATCATTCTATCGGTCGAAAAACAGAAGAGCGGGAAAAAGAAATCGGATAAGAATTAAGAAATTCGATACGTATGATGAAACTTACTCCTGATCTTAGATCCGATGTTTTCTTTTCATTTTTTTTTTCTCGAGACCCAGGATGTTATTGGTTATTCCAGTTCCGAGGGAATACATTTGCGAGAAAAGTTACTATTTTTGTAACCGATATCCGTATAAGATTTGCAGACGTCGTGTTTGTATTCCATAAATTCGCGATAGTATGCCCTGTGTGCCTCAGTCTCGATAAAACTTTGTTGCGAACGTCGAAGAATATCTCGGGCCACTACAATATTACCAATTCGTAATATTATTCAATGTAATCGATAATTAAGATCTCATTATTCTTACGCTATATTCGGTTATGTATATCTATGTCACATTTTTACCATATCAAATTTTAATGACAGATTTTTTTATGGACGTACATAAAATCGATTTTTTTATTAAAAAATTTTTACACAAAACCTTTCAGTTTTCATCAATATTAAATGTCTCAGCCATTTATTTCGAAATACAATCTCCACTGAAATTGAATTTGAAATAAACAGAAAAATAAAGTAGCTCTCGAGAATCAGTTTATTTTAATTTAGAATTTTTAGAAAGTCTCAATTCATAAAATTTCATTTTTTAATTATAAATTCATAAAACCATGCCTTTAAAATTCTCATAATGGAAAATCGAAATTGTTAAAAAAATCTGTCATCAAAATCCAATATGCTGTCGTCGTATTAAGTGCCGTGAACGAGTTCTCCACGTTCTCCGCGTTCTCCACCTAAACGGGGACGGCGTGTATGGAATGGGAACATCGCCGATGAGGCTCGGCGTGACGCATCGCTAAGTTAAAAAAAAAATAAGGGGAGTAATGATAACAAAGCGCATGCCATGCGTTGTGGACTAATATCTAAGAACCCAGGTATTGCGAACAGACATAAAAGAGACGTAAAAAGATTTAGGTCGAAGACCTCGTCACATCGAGATCGATCGTCGGTGTTTTCGCGTGAGCCTCGCGGGGGAGGCGATCAATGCGTATGTGTTCATGTGTGTGTGCGTGTGCGTGTGTGTGTGTGTGTGTGCGTGTGTGTACAGGCATCTGAGGTAAAAGACCGCCCGTTCCGGATACGACCAGGCCTTCGAGATCGAACCGCGCTCCTTTTGTAGTCTCTTATTCAGGAATCGAAACCGTGTAATTTCGCCAAGTTCAATTTTCGACGTGAAAGAATAGTAAGGGAAAATGTACCTTACACTAATCGTCCCGCCGTTCTGGTCGGAATAACTACGTCGCGAAACAGGAGAATGAATAAATGGGAAAATTCATTCAATGAATTCTCTCGACGTTGAAATTATAACTTTTAATTTCCAACGACTTTTAATTTCTGTAACTTCTAGTTAGAGTTTATAATTTTAACTGCTTTCATTTTTTATCATTAAAAAATTGTTTTGCAATCTAATATTCTAATTTATTATGGAATATTGTTGGAATATTGTTTTAACAATTTTCTTGAGTATTTCAATTGTTCTACTTGATGTTCAAGAACGGTTTACGTATCTTTTCGCATCAAAATCCAAACTAGTCAAAATTAGATCGATCTCGATTCCTTATCTCATCGCCCGAGATTAGTGATTAATTACGACAGTGGTTACTAGTGATAATTACGGCGGTGATGGCGGCTACTGCCGGTAGCGGCGGTTATGGATACGTAAGAGCTACGGCGATAATAAATTTATAATTATATTGTAAATATGTGTAATAAAGAATCATATAAATCGTAATGATCGCAACACACAGATCATGCGCACACTAAACATGTATTTCAAAAACTAGTCAAGCGAAACTAATGACTGAATAAATTTCCCAAAAAATAAAGATTACAAAAAAGTAGATAAACAAATTGAAGGCAAGAGAGGAGAGAAAAATCAGACGCAATTTTCAAAAATTAACCCAACTAAAATATTAATTGGCAGTCGTGTGAGAGTCATCGAATTTCGGAATTTTGTTTCGCGATTAGTCGTAGAACCCGACCGTAGAATTACGAATCACGATAAATGCTAAGATTTCTACTCCAAATAAAACAATTCTTTATGAAGAATTATAACAATTTTATATCTTATCTTATTAAAAATACACAGGAATATATTGCATGTAAAACACAAGCAATTTAGATGATAACAACTACTATTATCCCGCGAAAAAAATGCGAAAAAAATTGTCTTCAAGATATATTAATTTCATTACCCGCGTCACGATTTCTTTATTCATTTCTCGTCATGGTCAGATATTTGCATTGGATCGATTTGCAGTCGGGTTCTAGGATTAAAGTTCCTGGATCTTGTGTGCGTGACGCGACTTCGCGAGGAGTTCCGCTCGCTCGTGTGAAATTCTTTGCCTCGTAAAAGAACATCGCACGAACGCGAATCGTGGATATAAGTGTCGACTTTTACGAAGGAGGAAAATGTCCCATTTTTCTTAAGGCCTCAATAAAAACGGATTTTTTTTTTTTTTTTCGTAAAGACAAATTCCATCGTTTTTATGCTGTATAACTTTATCAATTTTTTGTTCCGATTGCTATGATGAATCTGCGAATATCCGAATACTCGACCGCATTTGCTTAATGGCTCTATTATTCTTCTCCCTCCCTTTTGTTCGTCAATCAATCTTCGTAATTAAGATCTTATAAAAATCAGATCGCAAAAGACGTGAAAAAAGTTTCATCTAAAAATAATTTGGACGTATACTGATCGGCAAACTCAGTAAACAGCTCCGATGCACCAAAATGTACGTATTCTACGGGACACGATTATTACATTCGTATTCGTGCGTGATTTACGAGTCGCCGCGATTCTAATCGCGACTATTCGTTCCCTTAATATCGATTATATAATATCCTTCCTCTTGGTCGGTAAACTTTGCGCGTGAATATAGTAGACAATTCAGGGCAGTAGTACTCTTACGGTCACTATCTTATAGTCTCACACTCGTATAGTCGTAGCTATCCGATATAAGTCGTTAATTTATTCTCGAACCAACCTATATATAGGGAAGCACATTCTTCTTTTATCTATCGATATAACACATACCATACAAAAGTTCGTAAACTGCAAAAGTTGACGAAGCGTAATCGTGACTTATCTTAAATCTTTTTAAAAGTGCATAGCTCTGACTTTAATTAAGAAACGAAAATTATAACACGCGAAATAATTGTTACAGCACAGTTCGTTTTGGTTACGTCAATTCTCTTGCACGCCTTGTTCTCGAAGCGGTGCGAGGGAATATTATCCTTGCGCACTGCGATACCCGTCTCTCTTACAGAAATTACCAAAGTACAGCCTTAACTTATGTATGAGAAAGAAAAATGAAAATAAACGTACCAGTACGTTTATACTAACACGCAGTGAGCATTCAACAAATAATACGTATAAATACACTTCGCATAACGACTTTTCACGTTGTTTCTTCTTAAAGAAACTCACTCGAACGCCATAATCTTTACTCTCGGAATGTACCGGCGAACGTATCAATTTATTCTTCGTTGTCGATCGTTTACTGCTAAATGGATATATAAATGAACAGATACTATCGTGTATACAATTGTCCCGCGATTAACTTTCGCCGTCGTGTCTCGCACGAAATTCATTTTAACGGAAAACGCTTTCGTATCCGAGATGCCTAGATAATTCGATCAGATTCGAACGAAACACGAGAGTCGCAGGAAATCACGAAAGAGGATGTGTTATATTAGTGGAGCGTATGTGTCACTTTCGTCCATCGTGGTGTCTCGCTTGTACTGTCGGCCTCGCGAATTCGCCTCGCTTCCTATCGCGTGCGTTCACGACGGAGGGAGGATTAGAGCGCGAGGAGCAAATATCCCTGACGGCGACTCTAAATGGCTAGAGATAGGAGCATTACTGCTGCGGTAATGGCGACGCCGGTCTTGCAAGTATCACCAGCATTACTGTAGTCCTCAGTGCCCGTAGATTCTGAATGGATGGAAAAAGGCTCTGTGTAATAAAAAAGATCTTTCCCCGCTTCAAGTATGTCGTCGTCGAGTAAAATATCTTTAATGTCTTTACAAGCCCGTCGACGGTCACCGGGTAGCTTTAGTAGTTAGCTGGTGTCTTGCGCAGGGTCAAGGGATCTGAGGACTTCTTCAAATCCTGTAATCTCGATTAACGCCAGAAGGGCCGGGGACTTGGTATTTTTTATAAAAATAACTTTCCATTCCGCGTAAAATAGAAGGCAAGTTATATAACATGCATAAAAAATCGCAATCGCTATACCAAAATTCATATTGCAAATATATATTAAAGTAATATAGTTTATTTCTAAACATACTTTATTTCTATAAAAATGTACGTTATATTTAAAAATGAAAGTGTCAAGTATTAAACACATTTTACTTAAAACGAATGTTAAAGTATTTAGCGAGTAAAATAGCCATTTAGGCCTTTCTGATGATTACAAGATCGTTTCCGCCGTCGACAGAACCAATTAGAAAAGTTATTGAGAAAAAATCAATACAAAAAAAAAGATAGTTTAACTGAGTGGAAACCTCTTAGACGAGGAAACGAAAGACCTCAAATAACCCTTTTCCCTCCCCCATGAATGAACAAAAATAGGGGCGACAAAGTGACAAACGATTTGAAGAAGATCGCGAAGAAAAAAATATTCAGTGCAGTAGCTTCGTGCACATATATATTTCAAAAGGAATTAAATATATCTCGAGTGGAAATCATTACGAAAAATGTAGATACGTCATGACAATAATTATATTGGATCGTAGGAACACTGAAAATTAATTGCGAAGGGCCACTAACTTACCTCTAGCCGTCCTGATCTTGACGTATCCAGGTTTGCCGTAGCCCATCACGTTGTGAGCCTGAAGCTCGACTATGTAGAAAGTATCGTATTTCAGATCCTTGAGGAACTGTCTCGTCCTTTGGGATTTGACATCTATCGATTGACAGGTTTCCTGTATCACATCCCACTCGCCAGCGACACGTCTTATCTGGCAGTACTTGATCAGGTACTTGTCTATGGGTTCGCCATTGTCGGGCGGCGTCACCCAGCTGAGCTCATATTGATGATTGTACGGAGACTGCTCGTATTCAGAGCCTGGTGTGGTCAGAATTCTCGGATCTTTCGGCACCGTTCTACCGGGTGTGATCTCTCGATGGAAGTTACCAAAGTTACCCAGACCGACCTCATTTCTCCCGGCGAATCGGAAGTCGTAGGGCGTCTGCGGTTTCAAACCCTCGATGACGTACAGAGTACCTAGAGGATATTGTTTACGTGACGTTTAACTATACGTTAAATTACGTAAAGAAAAACATAAGCTAAGAAAATAATTAAAATTATAGCATAATTTGACTTTAATGTATAATTTTAATGTATGCAAGATATACTTACCGATAGACCACGTTTTATTCTTCGCGTTTTGCCAGGTATGCAACTCCTCTTTGTACTGTACGGTAATAGTAGTGACAGGCAAATCTGGATGTATGGGCGGTTGCAAATCGAATCTTATCGTCGTGGCGGTAATTTCAGCCATCTTGACGCTCAAGAGCTCGCCGGGTTTCGCCGCTTCCCTCAACTCTATCATACGCTCCCGCGTACCGTGAGTATTCATAGCGATGCATTTATAATGCGTGTAATATCTCCGGTCGATCGGTCTTATTTGAAGATTGGAAATCGGGCCATTACCAAACTGTTGGATATAAGCGTCGTTATCGATCTTCTGCTCATGCAAAGTCCAGCGTATTGTCGCGTTCGGTATGCTCTCGGCTTCACAAGTGAGATTAATTGGTTTCGATTCCCAAGACCAGGTGACGTTCCGCATAGTGGAGGAGAAGGAGGGCGGAAATTCCACAGTCAAATGACCATTCATGTAGGCGACACCGCCAGTATTTTCCGCCACACATTCATACAGACCATCGTTATCAGTGAGAACGTCAGTGATTGATAGAATGCCAATAGTCACGTCGCTAGACATGTTGTCTGGTTCGTTCCTCACGATGATCCGGTCATCTTCCGACTGAGCACCATCCGCGTATGGTTTGTCGAGAGTGAATTTCCTGAAGCTCACCTTGGGTGGTGGTCGACCGAAGGCCTTACATTGGATTTCCACGCTTTTGCCCTCCACCACGGTCTTGTTCAAGAACTCCATAATTTTCGGTTTGATGATCACATTTATTTGGGTGGTGGCAGTAGCGGTACCTGCGGCGTTTGTTGCCATGCATTGATACTCACCCGAATCTTCGCGCTTCACATTTGTGATAGTGAGTATACCCGAGACCGGATCGACACCGAAGCGATCGGTAATGGACAGATTTTGTTGGGTTAGAGACTTAACCCACGTGATTACTGGTGGTGGCTTGCCAGTACCATTACACCTAATATCTGCGTTTTCGCCTTCGATAACATCTATTGGTTTCGTAAACTCAGTGATCGTAGGTCGTATGTGTACCTAATAAGAATTAACAAAGTTATTGAAAAAAAAAAATTTTTTTTTTAGAAAAAAATACACAAATTTAAATTTTTAAGCAGATATATATAATCTCTAAAAATTATTAGCAATTAAAAAATATATTAACAAATTTATAGCGTGTTAATAAAAATTAAATTAAAAGTTGTAATATTGTTATAATAAAACCATTAAAATATGACAAATAATGAGCACTTAAACAAATGTAATATAATAATTATTCAACGTTTATAAATTTCTGAAATAATTTACGATTTTTTTAAATCAATGCAATTTAATGAAGATATTAATTATAGTACCTCAACGTGAATAGGTCGCTCTTGCAATTCTCCTGTGGTCTGTACCGATGCCCGACATATATATACACCATCATCGCTCTTTTGGACATTCTTGATTTTCAAGGAATAAGTGTTTATGATATAATGATTATTTGTTTTGATCACCTCTCCGTTGAAAAGCCAATCAACCGAAGGCGATGGCCTAGCGCGTACTTGACAATGAATATCGAAGTCTTCTCCAAGAATGGGATACTGATTTGTCGGTGCATTCTCCCACGTGATCGCAACTATTAATCACAAATCGGAAATTTTGTTTGGAAAAATATTGCGACATATACATATCTCTCGGAAGGAAAAACATGTATATTACTAATTTCTATTATGTATAAACTAATTTCAATCTATTTAGATTTAATAAAAACTGATTATATATATATATATTGCTGTATATCTTCTAATTAGATATATAATTCATTTGTCTGCCAAAAATATTAACTAGAACGAAATATCCATTATTTGATATTCTATATCCGCCTTATTAAAAAGTTATACACGATTTCCAATAACATTTTAATAAAAAAAAATTCTTTGATCATTTCATCGTGATATTAATTAAGTACTGTTCGATATATCTCGCTGGGAGATATTTTATTCTATATCGGAATAAGTACATTTAAAAATTAAAATGCGGCAAGGCTTTTTAATTCTATACTCACTAATAGTATCGATTGTCACAGATTTGCTTAACTGCACATTACGTGCATAATTCCCTTTGCATGTGTACATCCCAGCTTGTTCCTCCTCAAGGGAATTAAAATATAGGGACAGTCTACCATCTTGGTGTAATTCGGTGTACCTGGCTGGCTTCGAATTTTGATTATTTCCTTTTTTGCTGTAGAGAATAATATCACAATTTGCAAAACAATTCGCAATATCGGTTAAAGCACATCAAATTGATGATAATGATCAATGACATCGCATGACGATATTGCGTTCATACACGTTCTTCGTGAATGACGCGAGAATGACGTGTAAATGACAACGAGATGCATTCACATGACCTCATATTATTCAACGTTGCATAGTATGGCATAGAGCGAATCGACGTATGATGCGAGTATAGGTATATATGATATGATGTATTCAAGCAATTTCCATATAGTATACATCGGGCGACGAGATGCCGGATGTAATATCGCGTGACGTGGACTATAAAGGTTACGAATATGGATTCTGCGGATTAAGAAGATGGCTAGAAGTGATAGGATCAAAAGCGTGGCTGCTGTGAAACCGCGTTTCCGTCTTCAGAAAATGGAAAATCATGAAAATAAATTTTTATATCTCGAATAAATATGGAAAATTAGGGAAATATAAACACATTCAAAAATTAATTTATGTTATGGTGAAGCAGCTATATTATGGCAATCACATAAACATAAATGCAAACAATGATGATTGGCATAAAAAAATCATTGGCATTAAAAAATAATACGATATTACCACGGCAGCAATATATAGTCTGTCAATTATATAGAGCGATCGAAAAGTCCCGATAAAAATTCTTATATGTATATAGGTTTTTCTTTAATAAATGGCACGTAAATATTTCTGGTTCAATTTGTCTCTATATATCGATTCTCATAACAGCCTATATTAGTGTAATATGGAGAACGTATAATTGAGTGGCGCAAATTGCTCGAATCGGGATGATTTTATCCGGGAATGTCACACACGGCACTCTTGACGACGAATGTACTTAATTATGCAAATCGTACTCGGGGATCGAGTAATCGTACAAACACGCGACACGACGAATCAGTTACTAGGGTTAACGTTCGTTAGATTGTTTGATCGCTGGATTAAATACTTTGCAGTATGAGCGACACGTGGTACATATATTAGCTGTTAACGATATCGACAGACTTGCATAAATAAAGACATAAATATTGCAGACGAGGGTAAAATAATGTTTGCGAGTGTGCACAGAATTGCGCCATTATGGAGCTGCTTAATTACTGCCGAGGCACACAATCACATATACATGCACAATGCCCTAGAAATATTGTGTTTCATTTTTAATCCTGTGAGCTCGAGCAGTTTAATTATAAAGCTAGTTAACATCCAAAACTAGAGAGCTTAAGCACATAAATTTTTAGGAACGTGTATAAACATAAAAAAATTTAAACAAAAGATTTTACATTCTATTTTGAAACTATAAGCTAAAAAATTAGGTAGGTAATTTAGGTACTCAATATGCTAAAAATTTACGTATCTTCAAAATCGATTTTCTCTTTCTCTTGCAATAAATGAAATCAAATTTGAATTTTATTAACAGAGAAATTAAAAAAAAAAAGCAATGACCCCACTCTGGGGTTACTCGGTATGCGTGAACGTGTAAACGAAAAATTCGTTACATGCATTTTTTTCCGGCCAACGAATTTCCTCGTTTTGGCATATACGGGCGCTCAATAAGTCGGGTTTAGTACGACCGATCGTTCGAAACTTTTCCGGCTTAACGAGCAATAGCCGGTTCGCGAACTGCAATCGGTTCGCGTTGCAGCAATTAAGAGCTCCATGGCGTGGACTGCGGGAAACGTGGTTACATCGTGGGAAAATGATTGTATCGAATTCGGGGCGAAGTGACGGGTGAATGTGCCCGCAAATGAGAAAGGTGGAAACAGGAGGAGGAGCAGCAAACGAACGAGCACTACTACGGTTGCATGTTTAGGTCTTCAGTAGATTTTATACTCGCCTTTCGAGCGGTAAGACAGCGTATCTGTGTATGCATTACAAGTGAAAGAAATTTGTGAATTAGTATTACAACGAACTTCCCCGTTTATGTTTAATGTGTATTTTACTGTTAAATTAAATATTTTTTGTACTTTTTCGCTTGTAATCTGTACCCTCTGTGGAGATTTATGATTTACGTCATAAATAATTATTGAAATTTATGATTTTATTCTGTGAAATTACTAGAGACGTGACGTGTATAATTAACATTAGATTGTAACATTTTACTCATAATCTTAATCGAAAGAAAACGCCGTTTCAAAATTATTTCAATAATTCATTAGTTCATTACATTTTACTTCTTAATTAAAATAAATTTCGCAACTTTCACTTTAACGAAGCACGACATGAAATGCATTATTCTCTGGAATGTAATTGATTAATACAGCAATTCATGTATAAATATCAACGATACAAAAAGAAAAGTGTCTAGATTCATGGATTATGATTCTTATAATTGCTTGTAATAACTCTTCAAAAAAAATGATCAGCACTAGCGTTGCAACTGATATCTTCGATTAATTAAACTGTCATCTTCTCAATTGCTAATTATAATATAGATAAAGAAACGCTATTGATCACTTTTGAGTCATCTTGAAAATATTATTTCTATAAGCAAAAAAGAAGAAGAGATAGTCAGTGTGGTAATCGACTTACTTGAGAGACTCAATCAAGCGATCCAACGGATCGAACCATTGCATATCAGAGATAAGTGACGGATCGTCTACCTTTGGTTTACACGTGAGGATAATGCTGGAGCCGATTGGCTTTGTTTGCGTCTCGCCGTTTGGTAAAATTTCCAAGTACGGATCAGTTGCGTTCGCGTAAGCTGCAAAACAAGAAAAAATCACAAACGTTATTATGCTGGCAAGGAAGATGAGTGTGTGCGTGTATACATGTTTTTGCATGCGAAACGACCGACGGAAAATACTGGTTTCGATAATGATATAGTTAACGGAGTATTATAGTGATTATCCCAATTATATGTGTAATTTATTTTTTGCATTAATGCAACAAAAGTGCAAGAGCGGACACTTATTTTAAATATGTGACTTTTAGTTACAAAAACATGGTTTTAAATCTTTAAAGCTTCTAAAATTTAGAATAGAATACATATTCTAATTTATCATCGTAATTACTTGTATGTGAAAAATTATGCCAAAGATAATAAACCGTCAAGTTTATATATAATAATTTTCAGTCGATTACGTTTTAAATTTAGTTAAATTTAAATTTCTTCCTCTTCTAGAATATCAAAACACACAAAAATATTTTTTTATGTGTATACAGGGTGAGTCAGAGTCGTTGAACCAACTTTTTATCCTATGAGAAATTTATCGACCTTATACCTAATTGAATTATAACGTGTGCAGACAATTATTTTCTCATAGGATAAAAAGCTGATTCAACAACTCTTGATTCACCCTTATAGTATAATAATAGTAATTAAAATATATATAATAATGAAAAAAATAATTATTTACTAATATTTCCAAGCTTTCAGACATTGTTTCAAAAGAAGAGAATAAAATTCAGATAGGACCAAAAAAAACTTATGTGTGACCCTCATTCTGTTTCTTCTTCGGATTAAATTCATTACAACATACTAAGCAAATAAAGATTAATCTGTACGTTGTTTCTTAAGATGACACAATTTGAAACAACTCCCCAGAGAAGGATAATCCCGTGTGGTTACAGTCTCTCTTACCCACACGAGTGGGCCGAGGCGACACCGCCTCCGGCAGCGGGGGTGGCGGCGGCGCCGTCATCACGTAAATGCACAACACGGAGAGGCAGATCGGCGACGTCTCGACGCTCATGGTTCGCTTAGCGCAACAGAAAGCGCCTTCAGGGACCGAGATGCGTACGTAAACTATGACAACGGTATGCGAACGTCGTCGGAATGCAGGCGTGCGCGACGGGTGCCCTCGGCGTCAACACGACGCGACTCGGCGTAGTGGCAGGCATAACAGGAAGCGGGAATTGAGCTAATTAATTGCGGCGAGCGAAAGTGCGGAATTGCCCTAACTGGGAAACGTTCCGTGACCTCCTCCTCCTCCTCTTCCTCTTCTCGTCCCGCGTCATCCAGACGTAAACTGCATCAGCGGCGTAATGCAGAATAGATGCTCGCCTGTTCTCTCTCTCTCTCTCTCTCTCTCTCTCTCTCTCTCTCGGCGCCAGCTCTGCAAGCTCATTAGCTCGTTAACTTCGCGCACGTAAAGCTCAGGCTACCTGATGAGTGGAAATGACGGCGCAACGAGGGAATCATTATCGAATTTACGTGCGAGCCGGTAGCCGCAACTAGAACTACTCGTTAAGTCCGTGGGAATTTCTCGAGTCGCATGGAGAAGCGCCGATTCGTGATTACATGCGATTAACTACGGAGCTTAAAACGCGACGAATGCCCACAACTGACGGTCGATTTCCGTTTCACGCGGATTAAGTGGGCCGATAATGGATTTGTGTTTGCATTGTATCGGCAGCCAATCGCTTCCTGCACAGGTGCATGTTACTACCGATTGTCAAATTGACAGCACGAGCGTTTCACAGGAGAAAAAAGTCAGTAAAAAAAATTTTATATATATATATAATACATACATACATATGTCTGTATGTATGTATTCCGATGCAAGCACAATGCGATGAGCGAGCCGTGTAATCGAAATAGGGGGCCAGTTCGCCTAAATAATTCTTTTTTTTTTTTTCCACTGGGTGCAAGAGCGCACCGCTGTGTAACAGTTGATCTCGTAAATACTGAAACCGCGGAGCAGTGGTGGATGCTGCGAAAATAATTGAATACGGATTAAAAAAGCGAGCTCGAGATAGTGAACCAAGCTACGCTGATGCAAGCGAGCAGCTCGCGTGTGACGCTGATCGCGTCTGACGTAATCGACAATGGCACGAAAATTGAAACCGCCCCGCAAATTGCCGGCGGAAAAAGTCGATCTCCTCTGTTCCCGCGCAGCGAAAAACTTCCGTGCCATTTCTGCCGTTGGTAAATGTCAGAAGAACAAACGAAAATACAGTATGAATTTTAAACAAAATTCGAAGACCAAAAAAAAAAAGACTAGGCAGATGCGTTGCATTCTGCCTTTCATCTAATTAGCCATCATCTAAAAATTTGTAAAATTTATTATTTTCTCGATGGCTCTATTTCCTCAAATCATAAAATTATTTCTAAATACATGTTTGTTCAGAAAATAATCGTCTCGTGTAAAAATAAATCCTGTATTTTGCCTTTCCTGGTTTTTGTCGTTAAATCTATTCCATTTTCGGTATTTTTTTTTATCTTTTGAATAAATGATTTATTTTATTTATTCCTTTACCATTAAATTTAAAGTTTCGTTGAAGATATCTTCGACAAAATCCGCGAGATGATTATTTTATTGTGGATAATGCAAATGCACCGTTCGAGAAACCGTGGAGAGACTCGTTAATTTCTGTAATAGTCCGCGCAAGGACGCGGAAAGGTTACAAACCTTCCCAACGGAGGAACTTCCTTAATTGGCCTAAGACTCATCGAGGATGAGTTCTTGCGTGCGGTCAATTAAAGGATCTAGCGCGTTACGCTTTGCTCTGCTCTCTCCCTCCCCTCTTCCTCTTAGCAAACTTAGGATTTTAAGCTGCTTTTATGACATCTTTCTATACATAAGAACGACCTATCAGATTCAACTACTGAAGTACGACAATCATCAAGCAAGTAATAAATACCTTGCGATAAACTTCTAAAAAAATTAAAAAAAAAAAAACATTTATTTCACATTTCTAATTAAATCTATGACTTCTTTTTAAAAGACTTTTTCAGCTTTCTGGCCGTAAATTCCTATTAACATAGCTTTTTGAATACCAAAGAATGTTTTTTTTATATATAAATGGAAAACACGGAATTCTTCACTCATATTCCGTTAAATTTATTTCCATTTTAACGAATAAAGTAATAAATAAAAATCTATGAATAAAAATCTGCGATTTTTATCGGATTTCAATTAATAATTCATTATATTTTCTTTAGATTATTTATTGTAATTAAACCGTAGTATGTATTTCATTAAACTAATGGTTGATTGTATGCTTGTAGAAATTAACATTCCTACTTTAATGTGCGCGATAGTATGCGAAGTGCTTCTCTTCGTTTTCTCGAAAATTCACACGTAAGAGGTCGAGCTTACAAATTGCGATAAGTTCCAACGGTACATTCAAGCTGAAGTCTGTATCTAGGAGGGAGGAGCATCGTGATAAGACACTGCAACGTTCGCTTAACGCTACCGGCATTTGCATCGCAAAGTTTGCTTAAACTTTAAACTGGGTGAATGATGAGAAATGTGTTAAATCCTCCTAGTCGTCGCTAATTGTCTCCGACCGTGCATTACATACAATAGCCACAATCAACCAGCAGTCGTTTTGATTAATGGCTCGGCTTCAGCCTGAAAATATGCTTTCGTTCTGCTATCGAGCCCTCGAGCTATAATATCTCGAAACATTATGGGAATTATAATTTTGGCCAGCTGTCATTTCGGTAGCCTATGTGCACAATGACTGAACTCCCTACAAGAGGTGTAATTCTGCTCTCACAGCTGTCATTTCCGATAAGAGATTTCGTAATCAAGAGAGGGTGAGTCGCTAAAGATTACGTCCCCGGGAGCATTGTCTCTTGCTCGTAAAGACAGCTTATTTATTTGCTGTTCTTGCACTGTCATAAAACGTCGTTTCTTCCTCGCGATAAGACTCGCAAATTCATCATTTCCGGCCCGCTTAGGCGAATGGGCGGGCAGGCTAGGGGTAAGTTAAAGATTTTCCTACAGTCACTTGGGTCCTACAATCGCAAAATGTGTTTCACAAGGGGGCTAAACGAGCAGACGGTCCCCCTCGAACAATGGCAAGACATAAATCGCAATTATGTTTCCGGCGGACTGAACTTATTCGATTTTATCTAATACGCTGAGAAACTCTCAGTGAAAGTATTCGATCAAGTTACGAGATATTTGATATTTAGAGATTGCCATCACAGAATTAAATTTTTTTTTCACAATAATTACAATCTATATTTTATATACATTTGTGTGCTATATTATTATATAAGACACAAATAAATAATCTTTAAATATAACTACGTATAAATAATCTGTAAATAAAACTGTTCCAAGAAAAATATACTTCCAGATATATTTAAAGATATAGGCACTTATAATTTTTTGTATATCATTTTCATAAAAATTCATATTAAAATGAAATTAATTGTGATTAAAACAATTCAATTATCTAGCTACACGTTTATATAATCTGTTTATCTAATTCAGAAAATATTTATAATAAAATAAATCTTGTTATAATTTAATACAAAAAAAAAAATAAACATATGGTCTCTTAATTGCTTCTTTGCTAGATACCTACTCAAAAAACATGTTTGTCTGCATTTCGTGAAGAGAAACCATCACGTTCGTACGTAAAAAAGTGCTGATATCACGATATATTATTGTTGTAGAAAACAACACTATCATTAATTGCTCGTTAATGTCGTATTCAAAATGTATTCGTCATTATGCGAAAGAGGAAACCTGCCAGTTCATCGTCGCGATGAGCATTATAACGTCGTACGAAACTCATTCGGCGTGAACCGCCGAAGAGAGCAACAATACGGAGGGTTGGTTGTTCCTGGAAATCCCCATTCTCGGCCTACACCTCCGCCTCCCCTCGAGGGCATGCGCTCGGGCAGATTCTATAATCGTTTCACAAATTCGCCCGAGTCACCGCGCTCCGCTTCTTCTCACTACCCCGCGTTTACAACGGTGTACCGCATCAACCATTATCCACCCTTGAGACTCGCAAATT